TCTGGGGGTGGCCGGTTTCCCCGTATCCGACGTTATGGTCGATTAACGTGTAGAAGTGAGACATGCAATGCACCCGATTTAAGAATCGGCGAAAGAAAGAAAAATTACCAGTCGAGAAGAAGGGGACTTTACATGGTAAATGATCCTACAGACATCAGCATTTGTCAGCTCGTCTTGGGATTGACCCGAAGGGCGTTAGGGCGTTCAAGAGGATAGAAGATAGGTTGAAAGATCATGAGTTTATTGTCGGAAATGCGTTGACTGTCGTGGACTTCAATGTCTACATTTTTGCGCGATGGGCACATGAGGTTGAGATTGATCTGAAGAAAGAGTATAGCCATTATTATGAGCATGTTAGAAAGATTGAGAGGATGGACGGTGTTAAGGAAGCTGTTGGAAACGAGGGACTCAAGTTTGCATTTCCCTAGACTACATCCGTCACTGCTGAGGGACGTGACGACTACAACTTGACGCCTACATAACCCGTGGCTTGAACTCATCAATAGCGGGCTTTCAATTGAGGATATAGGACGTCTCAAAATGAAGAGGGAACTTTATAGGGAATGTAGATATATGCAGGCTATTGTCTAGATGAACTTAACTCCAATTACCAAAACTCATACCCTATCCACCTCAAAATCCCTTCGCATGTCGCCTTTTATGCTTCTTCAAAAATGCCAAAGCCGAAGACTTGTTGATATACAGATTCATCCTCGCCAACCCACCACAGTACGCAAGATTATTTCCAGGACAGCCGATGTTACAATCCGTCATAGAAACATTCTTGCCCTGACCAAAAGAAGGGAGAAGACCTTGCAAATTGATGGTGTTGCCGCACCAACACTCACGACCATTCTCGACACCAGCGTATTTATACATCCAGCATTTCTCAAGACATGTATCAATCGTCATGGAGTTACCATTGCTCATGACAAGTTGAGGAAGCAAACGACCGAGGAAAGGCTCCGAGACGCACGAGTAGCTGGTGAAGTTCTTGTTACCCTGGTCCACAGATGGAGTTGTAGTAGTCTTAGCCCCAGCCTTGTAAAGCTGTAAGCGAAGCGTGCCACCGCAATAGTCCGTCTTGTCACCTGCGCAAGTAGCAGAGCAGTCCTTTTGGTTGAGGGCTTGATAACTTCCGAAATTGAGCTGATTCCCACAGTAGCACTCTCGACTGTTCTCGGTACCGAAGTAAGTGAAGCCACTACAGAAGCTGGCGCAGCTTTCGAGGGTCATGTCATCGCTGGCGGTGGCCTTGGAGTTGAGGGCGCGAATGAGGAAACCTTCTGTCCAGCAGCCTTGGAAAGCCCATGTTCCAACTGTGTCGGAGATTGAAGGGCCTGTTGCGGTTGGCTTGACTGATGTTGAGGTGGTGCTGGTAGTGGTAGAGGACGCTCTTGAGGTTGTGGAGCTACTGGTGGTTGAAGTGCTAGAGCTAGTGGCAGTCGTAGAACTGGCCCGCGATGTCGTGCTAGAAGTCGCCGATGTAGATGAGGTGGACGAGCTTGTAGTTGAGGACGCCGTTGATGAAGATGCAGCGGAAGTTGAACGGGATGTTATGGTAGCAGATGTGACGCTGGACACGGAAGAAACACCAGCTGGGCCTCCCGCAACCAAAGAACTCAATGAAGAGACACCCGAGGCACCTGATGATACCGTGCTTGATGAGGGGCGACTGACCATGGAAGACGTCGTCGCTGATGATAGCGCACTAGAAGAGGGGGCGCTCGAAACGCTAGAAGGCAGTGTGTTTGACGAAGTCGCGCTGGTGGTTGAAGAGAGTGTAGCGAAGGTTGTCCATGTCGTCAACGAAGTACTTGGGCTTATGCCAGAAGACGACGTTGACGAAGTAGAGGCTGTAGAGCGAGAAGCAGAGCTGGTACTCGTACTGGCAGTCAAAGAAGCACTCGCTGCGCCGCTCGCGGAAGCGCTGAGAGCCGAACTACGTGAGCCCCCAGAGCTTGAGACACTTGTGGCGGCGCTGCTTGTTGCGATAGAGCTCATAGTAGATGTCGGTGCAGAGCTAGAGGCGGAAGAGGAAGCGCTGTTCAAGCCACCGGCAATGTTGTTAAACACGCCCAGCGAAGTGGTGAAAAAGCTCGTGGAGCTTGTGGATATACTGTTTGAGACAGAAACCGAGGTCGAGCTGCTGACTGAGCCTGTGCTAGTAGAAGCGCCGTTCGAGGTTGCGCTGGATACTCCCATAGAAGAACTTCCACTGCCCGAGACCAAAGATGACGAAAGCGAGGTGGTTGACGAGCTAGATGTAAGGCTACTACTGGACGATGCAATTGAAGCAGAGCTGGAAATGGAGAGGGCACCGCCCGAAGAGGTCGCTACAGAAGAGCCCACACTGCTGGTCGACGACAAAGCCCCCATTGAAGTGGGCAAGGAACTACTGTAGACTGCATTGAGTTCATAGACGTTCAGACGGCTAGGGCCACCACAGTATTCGCTCGAGTTGCCTGGTCATGTCAGTATGTCCTTTGACAAACCCAAGAGTGAGTACTCACCATTGCAAAGCATACCGCAATCAGTGATCGAAGCAGGCACTGATCCGTCCGAGAAACTATTTCCGCAGTAGCACTAAGCTCGTCAGCACATATCCATTCTCAAGGCCAGGGCCTAAACTTACCTCTCCACCATACTCGATACCAGCGTAAACGAAGTTCTCATTACTGCAAGCCTGTACACAGTTCGCAACAGTAGGCGGATTATTCCCCCTGCCGTTAGGAAGTGCTCGAGCGTTGGTAGCCTCAGTATAGCACCCAATGCTCGTGTACCCACCAACACCGGGGTTGACAGAAGGTCCTTGAGGTGTCGCAGCACTGGCACTGCTACTTGTAGTGATACTTGCATACGAACCATCCCATTGAAGCGTATCAGCGAAGAGACTGATGTAAGCTCCACTGCCATCAATGCCATTGCCACCGCAGATCTGGTTCAGACTTCCAGCACAGTCGAAGTTACAATTCTGATCGTCGACCTTTTGCGTGGGGATCTTGTTGCCTGCCCAGCATTCACTTCGGTATTGCGTTCCGCAGAATGTCAGACCTTCTGAACCACAGGCGTTGATGCACATCTCATTAGTGTTGGAGCTATTAGCATAGAGCTGGTTGGAGAGCTGACGCCCAGGATTATTCTCCTTGAAGCAGCCGACGTATTGATACCGTCCTTGACCGTTGGATAGAAGAGGAGCTGCTTGTTCAGAGACAGCGTTGCAGAAGAATTGCACTGCGCGCTTTTCGAAAGACCAGGTTGGATCGTTGGTGTTCATAGTCCATTGCGCGGTGCCGTTGTAAGATGGGAGGTTCCACTGGCTTTTGGGGACGGTGCAGGTCAATGTTGCTGTTTGGCTTTGACCTGGTGCGATGAGTGTTCCTTCGGCGAGATCAATCTGGTTGGCGGATTTGATGATGCCTGGGACGCCGAAGGGTGGTTTTGAGACTGTGAGGCCGAGTTTGACACCACCGGGAGCAGCGGTGTTTGAAATGCGGAACTTGAGAGATCGAGATGTATTTTCTGTGACGTTTCCGAATGTGAAGGGATTGTTGGGATCGTACTTGACCCATCCGCTACCATCTGGTGTTTGGAACTCGAGAAGAGCGGTTGGAGGATCGCCAGCGGCAGCAGACAAAGACACTGTAGCATTGCCTCCGGTGGTGACGAACTTGACCCAAGCTGTGTAATTACCAGTAACCGAAGTATCTGGCTTGACAGAGATAGCAGTGTCGTTTCCTCCAGGGACAGTGCTTGGGATACCAGCCAGTGTGAACTTACCAACACTGAGGCTACCCGTGCCGGACCAGGTGGTGAATGGGCCGGATGAAGAGGTATTTGAGTACAGAACTGAAGAGACCTGCAGATCGCCAGATCCATCGTTGCCGATAAGAACACTCTGAGCTTCAGCTTGAGTACCAGTGACGAGACCGGTGAACACCACCGCTTTTGGGCTGACGTCCAACAACGCATTTGAACTCTTGCCTACGCCCGTGAGCCTGACCTTGACAGATTTGCTGTACGATGCGTCCGAAACGCCTGAAGTCTGAATATTGATAGTAGTGCCCAATCTCCCAACACTCTTGGGGACGAACTGCGCCGCGAACTGGAACGTATCACCCGCAGACATCGACAGCGGCAGACTCGGCGTCTGACTGATGTTATAGTTCGTCCCATCCGCAAGCGCAACACCTGTAACGCTCAGATCTAAACCCGCCGTACAATTAACAAGCTGCACACCACTCCCCTGAAAATCCACAGTCCCAAAGTCGATTGAGCTCGTACAATTAAGCGGAAACTTATTCGTTGACCCAAGACCATAAAAGTATCCCACCGTCGTGCCGATATACGCCATCCCATCACCGAACACAGGTCTGCTGAACTTGGTAATACCCACAATGGTGAAGTTTCGAATGACGTTGAGGTAGCCGTTCTGCGGAACCGCGTCGTAGATTTTGAAGTTTGTGTTTTGGACGTCGGATACCCAGAGGAGACCTGTGCCTTCTTGGTTGTTGAGGGACGTTGTTGTGCCGTGGCTTACGCCGAGGATGTAAGCGTTGTTGGTGGGGGAGTCGGCAACTTTGGTGAAGTAGGGTGTGTTATTGAGACAGGAGAATTTAAAGACGTGCGTTGGGTATTGAATCACTAAATTTGTCAGCGCGAATTGTAGAGTGAGGCTTTGATGGGCGTACCGTTGATGTAGATGTAGCCTCCCTCGAGAGGATAAACACCAGCACCCGCATACACAGAATTCTCATTCTGAAATGTCTGGATGACTCTATCCTTGGAGTTAGGACCATTGCGATAACCACCAAGATCATCAAGATTAAGCCAATACGTCTTTCCAGATTTGCCCGTAACAATACCCATCCTCTTAATATCACCGCACGAGAATTGACTCGGCAGAATCTCAAGCGGACTCGTCCCCAGATCCTTATCCGCACCGTCAAGCTCCTGCTTCTCAAAGGGCATGAAGAAATCCACAATCGAGAGGGTACCATCACTGTTGATGGACATGTGAACAGCCGCTTGCTCCATCGCAGTCGGGGGTGTGAAGCCATTAACGGGAATGGTGGACAGTTGAGAAGCGTAGCCGTTTCCAGTGGCGAAGAACATTGATCCTGCGTCGTCGGAGGCAAGACCACCGCCAGATTGCCATATTCCTGCGCCGGAAATGTTGCTGCTTACGCCGAGACCTTCGGAGGCCCAGTGCTCGACGATTTGGCCGGTGGTTTTGTCCCAGCCCATGATCCAGCCGGTGAAATTATACTGCACACAATGCGATGCGAAGCCAGCGTAGACGTATTGTCCTGTGTGGAGTAGTCCAGGTCGCTGGTGGTGAATGCCGCCCGTGAACATCCTCTCCGGATTGTTCCTCGCAATCGTGCCTTCAAGATCAACGGGGAAGTTCTGTCGCTCTGAAAGATCATTTACGTTGATAGCATGGATCTTGTACCTTCCGGCCGGTCTTCCCTGGGGAACTTGACCCGCATTCTGGTTGACATAAGTCTTTGACGTGATATACCACGTATCTGTATCGGGATCTATAACACCAGTCGCTGTGACGCCAACAGTAGGGTTGACATCAACACAGCCGTCCAAATCAGCAGTAAGGAACGGAATGCCAATGTTGCGCGATGCAAGAATCACGCCAGTCTTTGCATCAAGTTTATAAATATTATTCTGAGTCGTCGCGAGATAAACATATTGCGTTGTTCCGTCTGAAGGAGTGTAGACGAGGGGTTGAGAGAAGATCTGTTCTGCGGCGCCAACGTATTTTCCAGGGAGGGCTGTTTTGAAGACGATGTCGAATTGAGGGCTTCCTACGATTGCGGGATCCATGTTATGGTTACTGAGATGTGAGTCAGTGTGAGTGAGTGAGAGGGAAAGTAGGAATTGTACGTTTGGTAGCCTGTTCGGGAGTTGTCGCCTCCCCAGGTGATGGTATCTGTCGATGCGAGACCGCATGTTAGGCCAACCAGGGCCGATAGAATGAGTGTGAGTAGCAGCTTCATGTTGAAAGGAATGGTGAAGCGCAAAAATTGAGTGAATGAATGAATGACGAGATCAAAAACGCTCCCCTAGGGACGTTGCGCGATGGCAAAGCTCGTTCTATATACCCTCTCCCCACCAACCCTCGCCCAAGGCCATCCCGAAGTCCAGATCGCCATCAAGCTTCAATTCAACCGTCTTGGCTCGTTCGCTCCGACTCTTCGGATTACTTCACGGTTTGGACATGCCGATGCGCCGTTAACCTTTCGGCAGGCTGTCCAGACAGGAGATGGGACGTCGCGCCACGAGTCGAATACATTCCAGGCATGATGCAAACTCTAACAATTGTCGGTCTGTGGCTTTATGGTGTTGTGTTAGGGCGAAGCCACAGGGGAACGAGGCTGTTGATGATGCCACTTCTGGTGTGTCTAGACTATTTGCGGTAGAAGTAGTGGCGACAATGGCTTTGTTCCTGATCGCCGTGTGGGGAATGGTGCCTTTCCAGATCCGATTGTGCCAGACCCTGAGATGGATCGGCCTGAAAGAAGTGTCGAGAACTGAGTTGTCTGGAATGTTGCAGTCTTTAGTGTATGGCTGAAATATTAGTGGTCTTGTGCCTAACTGACACTGGACACTAGAGATAACATATCCCTATTCATAAAGAGGGTTTGTGTATACAGAGAGTGCCTTATTTCTGTGTCTTATTTCCGCTCAATGTAGCGATGTGGATCTTCACTGCAGTTCTAGTCAATGCAGACCCTTTTTTAATAAGTAACTAACAGCATTTAGCCTTATGCTGGTGCCCTGAAGTGCAACTACTCGTAATCTGTATTCTGATTTCGACGTGGCTCAAAAACTTGCGCTCTAAATCGGCTGTAGTAAGCGATATATCGGAAATGGTCATCATCGCGACTGGTCCAACCTTTAGTCAAGTTATAAATGTAAGCTAGGATCCGAAAGCCTTCGTCTTGTGCCTGTGTAAAGCGTCTCAGTCGGTGCGCTCGCCAACTGACCTTTACGAGTTCATAATCCATGAAGGCGAACTGGTTTGTGTGGCTATCAAAGCCTAGGCTCTTACGGATACTTAGGTGATATTATGATGCCTATTTACATCAAATTATCCTGTGATGTTTTCCTTTTGTGCTTTTGACTAGACTTGATCAATTCATTCTAAAATACAGAGTACTGAAAACCATAGCTAAAAAGAAAAAAGAAAAAAAGAAAGGTAGCCAATTTAGTATGATCTTGAGTCAGGGTAGGTCGAATTTGACTTGGAATCTCAGAGGGATGTTTGTGTATTGACTGTGACTACTGTAGCTAAGTCTCAGAAAGATCCTGAGACCAATCAGCATACTTTCACTGCAATTTCAACACATCTCGATGCCCGATGCCCGATGCCCGATGCCCCGCTCCCCTCAGCAAGATGAGACTTTGAGGCCTTCTACTTTCACTGCATTTTTAACACATCTCGATACCCCGCTCCCCTCCCGGCTCTGGGCAACATTTGAGGCCTTCTATCCGTACTTTCACTGCAATTTTAACAAACTGCGTGGGCTGCCTAGGGGAGTTAAAAAACCCTAGAGCCTTGACGCTAAGAGACGGAAGCCTTTCAGTAATTTAAGAATAAGCTTAGGAGACTTTGTAGTGAGCTTGGCTTCGTCGTCTTAAGCACCGAGTTTTCTTGCTCCCCAAGGACAGACTTTCGGAAGCAGTGTTTGACTGACTTGTTGAAATCAGAAATTTTCTTATGTAAGCCACCCATCACTTTCAACCGGATGCCCAAGGGTCTTTGTTAGGCAGTATCGACTGCACGAAGACTTGATCTTTACATTTATCATATCAGACAAGGAGAACCTAAGCTAGAAATGGAGAGGACTCACGATACGGATTACGTCGGCCTGCCACCACTTAAAAGAGCGCGGATGCAAGGGCCTGGAATTCGATGCGATGCCTGTACACGCTTATTTTCCCAACAAGGGCTACACGATCTGAACTGTTCTTCTGGTTTCGCCCATAAAACGCGACAGGGTCTTACAAGTTCAGCCAGAGCCGGCTGTAACCTATGCAAGTTTATTTATGAGGTTGCCTCCAAGGAATTCAGATACCATGTCTGGAAGGAAGAGGGGCTGCTACGTTTCTGGAACTCGAAATCGGATACAGGAGGCAAAAGCTCCCATATCAATGCCTTAGCTGGTCGCGTGAACGGCACTGTCGGAAGCATCACGCTCTATCCTTTTGTCGAAAAAGGTTCAGGATCTGGCTCCCTCTCATGTTGTCTGTTCTAATATAAGTTACTAGGTGATCCCCTCTCCAAATTGATAATACGAAGGCCACTACGCAGGGACGTTTCAAGTCCAGAAGTTTATTCGTCCGCCAAGAAGTTGATAGAGGCTTGTCTGAGAACAGATGCACCGAGTCAGGGTCATCAAAAGTGCCGGTACTCAAGAGATATCGTCCTTCCTACCCGTGTAATAAAAGTCAGTGATCAGACTGCACGGATACAGATCAATCAGACAGAAACTCGAGGAAGTTACCTTGCCCTGAGCTACTGTTGGGGCAAGCCGGATCCTCAAATGCAAAGTCGGTTGTCAGAACTACGTCTGAATAACGAGCATGATTTGAAACAGGAGATCGAAGTTGAAGAGTTGGAGCAGTCTGTCCGAGATGCGATTCGCATTACCAGGGAACTGGGATTCACCTATCTTTGGGTGGATAGACTGTGCATCATTCAAAACTGTCCCCAAGACAAGGCGAACGAAATTGCGAAGATGGCAACAACGTACAAGAACGCTGCAATCACTCTGGCGGCTGGGACTGCGGAAAGAGCATGTGACGGATTTTTGGGAAGGGTGCCTGATAAAAACCCTGCGTATTTGCCTGAACACAAATTCGACATAACGATGGAGGACGGTTACACTGGGACTGTTTATCTGTCTAAAAGCCCGTATCAGCCCAATCATCCGCTTGACAAGAGGGGCTGGACTCTTCAGGAGTATATGCTATCATCCCGGATGCTCATTTTCTCAGACTATCAACTCCTTTGGCAATGTCAGGAGGTTGAGCTACAAAGCGTCACTGGAACCAATGCAGGTATAGAGTATCAACAGGATCTTGAGTGGTTGCCATGGTCTTCCTTTATCGACGAGGGAGAGCCGTTCTATGGTACACACGATTCAGAGAAACTGTATCTCTGGAAAACTGTAATTATGCAGTATACACGAAGAGAACTAAAAGAATCCGAAGATAGACTGCCAGCAGTCACTGGTATCACAACTGAGTTACAAAAGGTCTGGCGGGACTCACATATCTACGGTCACTGGGAGCGGTGGTTCATCCAACTACTTGCATGGAACAAGCCTGAAAAGGATAGAGTCGAGGTCAGATATACCAAGAGAGCCCCCAGTTGGTCCTGGGTTTCAGTCGATGGGGGGATTCGATACGAAGATCCATTTCAAGTGGAGGACGCGAAAGTCAAGATACTCACGGCGGCCAAGGTAAGGCTGCGGTGCCGAATACTTCAATTTAGCGACATAGAACTTCCTAAGCGGCACACGCTATCAACTAGGCTTGACCTTGTTGAGTCAGCCTTGGGTATAGAATTCGCGGGGAGAAAATGCGAGTATCTTCTCTTGGGTAAAGCCATCCACTATGATGAAGAAACTGGAGTGGCTTTGATGATTCTAAAGACACCTGCTGGGACTTATAGAAGAGTCGGTTTAGCTCTGTTTGAAGATATGGAAGTTTGGGCCAGTGTCAAGTTTCAGGAGGTCGATCTGGAGCCGAAGGAAAAGTAGTACATCATTCCAAGTATTTATACCTATCTGACGTTTCCAAGCATTTCTGGTCTTTGCTTTTGTCTTGGGTACAAGCGTCTTTTAAATTCTTAACCTAATCACAGCATCCCGACCTCTGAATCAATATCCATTCTTTTCGTGTATCTTCTCATGTCTTCGACAGTCATTCACTCTGACGAAAGTCTTGTGGCAAGTGTTGCAAGCGTAAGGCCTGTCCCCAAAATGGCTTCGTTTATGGGCTTTGAGATTGATGTTTCTCGTGAAGGTCTTACCACAGATCTCGCAAGAAAATCTCCCGGGGACCTGTCGGCGACTTAAGGCCTCAAAGATGGCTCCTCCTTCTCTGAGGTCTTGATGGTAAGTATTGACGTGTCGCTCCCTATCCTTGTTACTGCTGAAGCCGAAAGGAGCCGCATTGCAGAATACAGGGCATTGGAAAGGCTTCTCATGCCGCTTTCCGTGTTGGTCTCGGTCGCCCTTCACTTTATAGCCGATGTGAAAGAAAGGGCAGAGTGTCCGATTGCACTTAAAGAGTTTTGAGCCATAATAGTCCTCAATCGTGTCCTCGTCACCGGACCTTTGGCCCGGAAGAAATCTTTCAAGCTCCATTCTATTATGTTTGAGGCCATTCTCGATTTGTTTCATGCCAATGGTGTTAAGTGTTGCGTAATCACCTCGTTGGTGAGTGTATATGTGGTTCCATACCAAATGAAGGTCCTGGTAAAGTTGCAAATTGATGAATTTTACTAGGTGATCCTCAACCAAGTCAGTGTGTTTGGCAGATGTTAGATCCGCCCTATGGGTATCGACGAAATGCTTTAGAGCAGAAGCAAAGTCCGCAGCAACTTTTAAAAACCTCCCTGTTGTGAACACTTCACTACAGTCTCGGATCAAAACGTCGAGATGACAAAACCACTGGGAACAAGCATAGTCTTGAAAAGAGAACCATCCCAATTTCGCATCATGGCTTCTTTGATGCGATGTATAGCTGCCGTCCCCGGTGAAGCATGGGAGGGTCAAGTATCTGAGGCATATAGTCGTCAGCTGGCACTGGACCTGCTTCTCGCTGATATGCTTGTTATCAATGATGTATCTGGAAGTCCCGTGTAGTGTTAGCCTTGAAATTGCCATATTTTGATCAAGACCGACCTTCGTGCAGTTGAATGGATGAGGTGAATATGACCTCCGTCGAGGACACGGACGATGGAGCCGAGGTATTTCTCCATATCGTGTCGTAGCATGTTATTCTCAAAATCAATCTTGAGTTGCTCCGGGTTGAAGCATGTGATGGCTTGCATCTCATGCCATCTGAGTGGTCTCTTGGCGCAAATGAGCCACCCAAAGAGTAGTTTCGATTTCTCCCATCTCTCATTTCCTCCTGCCAGTTTCGCAAGACGATTCCTGACGCATTCGAGCAATCTTTCGTATCTTAAGTAAATTAGTCAAAGTTTCGTGACAGATCTGAGAGCTTACATGTTTCCAAGCTCCTTTGGTATCATCCCTCCTGATTCTCTGAGTAGGGTGAGCAAGCCACCTTTCGTATCTTGCTGCAACAGCAATTCAATGGCCAAGTTTGCGTAGAGAAATGAGTCTAAAAAGCTATATTAGCCAAGAAACTTCCCTAATATGATTTTGATGTGTAAAAACCTTGACTTTGACGACAAATTATCCGCTCAACATCCGATTTATCAGCTTCAGAAAGACTGAAGCCAATACTGTGAGTTGATTTGGAAAATTCTGGAAGTCTTTTCTGCACAAAAGCTTTGATATCGTCATGATTATCCTCAGGTCTAAGTGTTATGCCGATGCAGTCGTCTCCAGGTATATGCTTTTTGGTATCAAGTGTTTCTCGACCAATGAAAAGGACTCTCAGGTGTCCCAATTTGATTTGCGTATCATATGTCGAGACCAGATCCTTGAAGAACTTGGCAGTTTGCTGGATCTCGACTCCATCGCACTCGTCCATACCATCTATCACGATGTAGTGTCTTGTAGAGAATTCGATAAAGGTCTTGATGAGCTTTTGAGCACGCTCTGCATCTATGGGGTTGGAGCCACTACTTGTGGCCTTTTCCTGATAGCAAAGTGGGATTATATAATCCTCAGCCTCCACCATTTGTAGGAGAATACCTTTCAGAATATCAAGGTGGTTTCTGAGCTCACTGTTGTCTTCCCGGCAGTAGAAATAACAGGTCTTGCTTCCGTCTGGAAATGAGGGCATCGTGTTCTGAAGTTTGGATGATTTCAGTTCATCGACGATCAAGGATGCAAGCACCGTTTTACCTGAATTATTAGCAAGCTGTGAGATCCCTAATACCAAGTTCTGTCGGAGTAGTTACCACATCCGACGTTCCCATGCAACCATATGGCTGAATGAGGAGGGTCTTCTTCACCCATCCACTCCGAGATAGCGCTATAGTTTCGGAAAAGCCAACGACCGCTATTAGGACAGATCGCCATATCACGGAACTCTTTTTGCAGCCTTGGCATCTTCGCAGAAGGAGTGATCCATTCCATTGTCTCTTGCCTTCTTTTATTCTTTCGGGCTTTTTCCTTCATCTCGAAATCATCCCAGTCTGACTCAATCCCCAAGGAGTACTTCTGGAAAGCCTCACGAGGGGCACGATAGTCTTTGGAGTTGAATCAGATTCTGGACTTCCTGTGATTTGAGAACTCACCTTGTGTAGAACTGTGTTCTTTGATGAACTTAGCGTGTGAGCCTAGAGAATGGGATAGGGTTGAAAATAAGTCATTTGCGTCATCCCAGACAGGCTTCTGAAGATTGTGCCATACTTGGATAGGTCAGTTGAGTGAGATTCGTCCACACAAAGGATATCTTACACTTCGAGGTTAGTGAGAAAAGCCTGTATGCTGTGGAATGAAACCGCTGTACATCATGATAGATATTGACTATACATTCAATAGCATCCGGAAACCCTTGAAAGAGCTGTTGGAACTGGGTCAAAGGCAAGAGCTGTGCTCCAAGAAGTCCGTAAACCTTGAGCATTCCGTTAAAAGCCTTATCAGAAGTGTTGGAAACCTGCCATCCCTTAGTTGAGCCCTGGACATGAATCGTAATCAATGACTACCTTGAGAAAGAACGTAATAGAGCCCCAAATGAGTGACATTACCCCTTTGGTTCCAGGAAACCCAAGGTACAAGAGGACTCTCTCGAGTTCTTCCATCCCGTCAAGAAACATCCGAAGCCGATTCATATCCATCATGTTGTGTGTATTATCTCGCAACGATTGAATATCCCGGATTTCTTTTCGCATGTCTCCACTAGTCGCGATTTCGAACTCTTCTTCGTGGCGGGGTTTCAGAGATCTCCTGAATCCATCCGCTAATTCATAAAGCCGGTCCATCGTGATGAGCAATTGAGTGACAGTGGCTAAAGCCTTGGAGATCTAGCCTTGATATACCACTGTGGCAATGAGAAATACAGGGCCGCTAGTAGTGACTCGGAGGGAATCGGCTGCACAGGACCCGCTAGCCGTGAAGGATTCAAGAGGCAACCCAGCTGCAGAATTTGAGGGGATCCTCAAAATCGCCTTGCTGAAAGCCTTGAATGGCGGTGTTGCATTTTCAAGCCTTACCATCCAATCGCTGGGTAACACAACCGCAGAGCGAACCAGTTATGATGGTATGGCTGCCTTGTTGGCCAAGCGAGCTGCATTTGGCTGAAAAGAGAGGTTCTGATTCGACGTTGGGTCACCATTCCAGGGATATCCTGCATGAAACACACGCTTACGCAGCCTGATTCTTGTATTTTCCGTGACAGCAGAAACTTTGCCGTCAAAGTTCTCATAGTTCAACATTGCTTGATTCACAATCAGGTAATTTCAATCGCGCCGAGTAAATCAAATTATCGGCAACATGTCTAACTTGCGGGATCTTCTCAATCCCGTAGGTATCGACAGGCACCGTATGTCCCACTCAAGCAACGAGCTGGAAGCACAGCAAGACCAAGATCATTCCATGGTCGATGTCCCTACTTCTCAGGAGCTCGACATCAATGGAGCGGTTGATGAGAGCTCGCAAGCCTTTTGGGGCGCTCTAAATGGAGACTTTAACGACAATTACCTCCAGTCCAATCTTGTAAACACTCTAAGGTAGGCAGCCATCTATATCAATTCAACGCATCGCTGAAGATAGAAAACAGCAATCCTTCATTCCCAGAACATGATATCTCTACACACTACTATACTGAAAACAATACTCTGGATATTGATCCACAACTTGGAATAGATCTTGATATGGACTTGGATATGAACAGTTTTCAGATGGCACCTCGTCCAGATGAACAAGAAAACAACCCTTCGAATGTGTCAACTACACTTGAAAGCTCTCGAGAAGGGTCAGCTATCACACCAGAAGTTTCTGTGCTAAGTCGGTCAAATGTAACACCTATAACATTATCGGGCGATGACGACGTCATAGTCCAATACGGCATGGTAATTACACGCGCCCTCGATGAAGTTACAAAGTAATGAATCAACACTCATTTTTCTTAGCTTCACAACATCGAAGTGAAATTGGTGCCTGGCGACATGTCATCCATAGATAAGAGACTGACAGCAGAGGCCTCGGCTTATCAGCACTTTACATCAACGGAATATCAGAAACAACTAATGCTTCGTTTTCCTAGTGATGGGACGCACTTCGGTCATCTCCCTTTAGCGGCAGGCCAGACTCTCCTACCTCTGATAGTGCAACCATCAGTCGATATTGAACCGCTAGCTCTAACATACGATCTGAGAGAGGTCATAAGCCGCGCAAACAAACCCGCAGATGCTAGGGTGAAAGTCGACATAAATATCTATGGTCCACGGTCTAGGGCGTTGGATATTGGCAGAATACTTTCTGATGGAAGGCTGTGGCTTCAGAGATCTAGCCACGGAAGATATGGCATTGCTTATGAGAATCCGCACTTCTTGAACATTAACGTCCAAGATACCGGAATCGATGAAGTCCAGAATACGCAACATGCTTCTAATGATGGTGCCCCGAAGAAAGTGAGCAAGGAAGATCAACTTCGGAAGATGGTAGATGAGGTCTATAAGACAGTCGGGAACAGCCGCGAACTTGAGATGGTTGAAGGTGGTGACAGAGTGACCCGACAGCTGTTAAGGTAACCTATTAAAACTTAAGCGTCTAGTTGACCTCAGCGCTAATCACTCAATAGGCATCAGAAAGAAGCCCTAGGTTTCATGCTCGAGAGAGAGTCGGGGCACATCAACGAGAAGTACAGACTTTGGGAAGAGATCGAGCATAGGGATGGAAAGGTACAATATCGACACAGAATCACCAAGAGGCGCAAGGATGTACGGCCAGAGGAGAAAGGCGGCGGTATTCTGGCCGACGACATGGGAATGGGAAAATCACTTTCCATTCTCGCCTTGATCATGAAGACTCTTGACAATGGTCAAGAGTGGGCGGAGGAGAGAAATGCGAAGCACAAAAGCAGGAGATCTCTCAAATTCTCTCGGTCTACTCTAGTTGTAGTCTCAGCAGCCTGTGAGTCACTTCCCATCGTCGGCCTTGTTTCAGCTACTTATAGAACTCAGTATTGGTCGATGAGTGGATAAACGAGGTTCAGAAGTAAGTGTCTCGAAACCTTACTCGTAAGGCACTTCTGACTCTGGCTAGGCACCTACAAAATGGTATTAAAGTGGTTAAGTACCATGGGGAAAAGAGACCGAAGACCGTCGAGGAGCTCGAAGAGACTGATATCGTAGTAACAACATATCATACACTCACTGCCGAGTATTCAGCAGGGAAAGGAAAGAATTCGCCGCTATACCAGTTAGGCTGGTATCGAATAGTCCTCGACGAAGGTAAGCCATCCTTCTGTAGTTCTGATCAAGATATCTAGCTAACCGGAAACCTTTGAGCTCATATCATCCGTCGTCCATCCACAAATTTCTTCCAGGCTTGTGAATATCTCCATGCTGAGTCTCGATGGTGCCTCTCCGGGACGCCCATCCAAAACAAGCTCGCCGATATTGGCTCACTATTCCGCTTCATACGTGCCGAGCCATTTGATAAGGCATCCGAATTTAGGAAGTGGATCGAAACACCATTTGAGAACTCATTCGAGGACCCTGAGCTCGTAAGTGATCGCCTAGTCCTCCTCCTTGAAGCACTGTGTCTTCGCCGAACTCGAGAAGTCCTCAACTTGCCCAAAACAAGGCAGTTTGTCCGGCATTTAGAATTCAGTCCACACGAGCGAGATCAATACGATAAAACAAAGGCTGTTATTCTACGAAACATGGAGCATCGCATGGGAGAAGTCAAAAAGAGCTCCCAGTTCGGCATGTTCCAGATGTGGCTTCAGCTGAGAATTGTCTGTAACCATGGAACATATCAAAAGCTCTTCTCCTGGCATCGAAGAAGCCTTTTGGAAGAACGAGAGGCTATAGTTGGAACTGCTGGTCAATATGGCGAGATTTCCTGCGCGGGATGTGAGCAGCCGATGCCGGTATTGGGATGCGACTTGACGGAAAGAATGTTTGATGACCCATGTTCACATGTTCTTTGTTCGAAATGCATTGAGGAGTCTAGTCTGGCCCTACCTGAGACTAAAAACCCATGCCCGATCTGCTTCAGATGGTACAAAAAGCCTTCAAACCCTCCGGATGAAGGAACTTTGGGACATAGTGAGAGACCGCGAAAGCGACGAAAGGCTACGGTGGTAAACGATGACCATGAGAGCTATTTCAATGAGAAAGGTTTCTCAACTAAGATACAGACTCTCGTGGAGGATATCCAGATGGATCTTTGGACCACAAAAAGGTAAGTCAGCCTTGGATTCCACGTTCCTTCTAACAATGCACGCACAGTATCATATTCTCTTGCTGGACCCGAACGCTGTATTTGATATCAAGGCACCTGGAACAGGCTAAGATTCCATACCTTCGACTCGACGGTGAAAGCCCATTGCGCCAACGGCAGGCTACGCTGCTTAAGTTTGAGAACGAGGATGAGATGCCTGTTCTCATTATGACAACAGGAACCGGAGCCTTTGGGTAAGTTGTATCTATTTCCAAAAAGAATGGTAGGCTAATACCATCGCGGGTTGAACTTGACTTGCGCAAACCGAATCTTCATTGCAGAACTACAATGGAATCCTAGCGTCGAGAGCCAGGCGATTTCACGAGCCATTCGCCTTGGGCAACAGAGTGAGGTTAGAGTTACAAGATATATTATCAACAACACTGTGGAAGAGGTAGGAAGTTCGATTGATATATGTAGAGCATGACTAACAGGCGCAGGACATACGGCATCAGCAGGAGTATAAGAAGCATATTGCAACACTGGGGTTCGAGGAATCAATTAATTAGATAGTATACATACTAGCCTAAGAAAGTTTTTTTTTCTCTTGTTTCAAGTAGTTTATTAATGCCCTAGTTAGTATAAAATGTACAGATTATTTACTATAAATAAAAACTATAATAAAAGTAGTTTTATTTATAGCTTTATCTATTTAAAGCGTTACTATTAAGTAGTGATAATATATATAGATTTTTTTAAATTAAAATTAATACTAAAGTTATAAAAGGCAATTAATATAAATGAAAAATTACTATATAAGTAATTTAGTATAATAAAGATATATTACTTTAATTTTAGTAATACTTTAAAAT